ATCGAAAATAATTCAGATTTCAATTTTAATTCTGGCTAAAGTTTTAAAGCTCACTTATATACTTTAAATAAATATTTTTGACTTTGTGATTCACTTTATATATTCTTATAAATATTATACAATGTTACATTATTTAAATAATCTATTTGAAACATTTAATATACCTCGAACGTTTCGTTACTGTACGGGAAGTTCCAGCAATTTGCCTTAAGGCACGATGCCATACACCACTAGTGTTCGCGCCAAATCAAGTAGTCGATATATTGATATAAACAAAAGCAATCAATCCAAAATCATATAAAAAATCAATCAATACAATATTAAAACACATTGAAATTATTGTAAATACGATTATAATTTGTAATTAATATAACATAAATACATAAATTACTATACAAATTATTATTGATAAAGTGTTTACAACAAATTGGTCCTTCAAATTCAATCAATCAAAACATAAAAACAACTAGTTTGGTTTCAAATTTATCAATCTTTATGTGTAACAATTTTTGTGATTGGTAAATTTAATAAATACTATAATAATTAATGCAAAAAAATTACACCTGGGGTTAGTTGAAATAAAACCTTTGGGATAGTTGTAACATAGAAGAATTTAATACAGATTTGAGTAAAGCAAATTGGGTGGAATATATAGTTTGTATGCAGATGTGGGCACGTGTAAAAATGTGGTACAGGAGACACTATATATTTTATTTCGTTTGCTTTATGATAAAATCGTGAATTACAAGAACATTATATATTTTAACATCCCAAAGGAGAAGTTTATGTTTTCATCAAAAATTCGATTCGCTAATTTTATGTTTTCTCAACAATTCAAGCCATTCTGAATCGAATGAGACCAATTTAGAAAAAGTATGTGTGTGTGTGAACAGATTTTTTGCGGCAAATCGACGTTTTCTCGAAAACGGCTGGACTGATTTTAAAAATTTAAAAGTCATTCGACATATCTCGAGAGGACTAGCGTTTATAACAATTTACGCAACGATCAGACAAGTTGTTTCTTTGTTAATATAGCAGAAAAGTGAAAAAAAAATCATTCCACGTTTTAGCCCGCAATTCTGATCGATTTTAAAATTCAAAAACAGTTCGAAAGATATTGGTTGGTAATCGACCTGATTAGTTTTTGTAAGACGATCGGCCGGGCCGTTTGTAATAAAGTGTAAAAAAAAATTTTTAGACGATTTTTTTATTTTTTTTAAGGTAGATAACATAGTCTTATTGATGATACTAAAATATTACGGCCCTACGACAAGTCGTTTAATTTTGAAAATTATTCAAAGTTTCCATGTCAATCGATGTATTTCGATGTGGATTATTAACTTCCCTTCCCGTAGGGTAATGTTATAGTAATCGTCCAAAAATCGGAATTGAAAATTTTTACATTTCTCGACGTTTTGAAGGTTTCTGAACATTTTGGCATACTTCAGAAAAAATGGATGTGTGTGTGTGTGTGTGTGTGTGTTTGTGTGTGTTTTGTATGTCCGCGTTTTTTCGTCCACGTTTTCGGGCGCACGGATCAACCGATTTGAATGGATTAAAAACATTCGATTCCTATTGATAGGGAGATGTGCTGATTAGTTTTTGGCAAAGGCAGGTCTAGCCGTTACGGAGATATGGAGCAAAGAGTGCAAAAAATAGAAAGCGAGTTTTTGAGAACGGATCAACCGATTTGAATGGTTTAAAAAACATTCGATTCCTATTGATAGGGAGATGTGCTGATTAGTTTTTGGCAAAGGTAAGCCCAGAGGTTTCGGAGATACAGAGCTAAATTTAAAAAAAATTGCTGTTTTTGAGAGAACTAAGCGTCCGATTTAAATGATTCAAAGAACTTTCTGCTGCTTTTTCAACAAAATAATTGATTTTGGAAAAAAAAAATTTATTTCTAATTTTTTTTTCAAAAAAATTTTTTTGTAATTTTGATTAAAATTCAAAAAATCACCCAAGCTAAGAACAGTCTAAGCGCCACTCTGGTACAAATGTTTTACCCAAGTGCGTTTAGACTGTTTGTGTACTGGAGCACTTTTCCAATTTTGTGAAAATTATTGAAAAATGTGAAAATGCCGCCAAGCTGAGCACAGTATAAGTGAAAATGTCGCACAGAATTATTTGCAAATGCGTTTAGACTGTGACTATGCGGAGCACTTTTTCAATTTTGTGTAAATTTGGCAACTATTTTTTTTTTTGGAATTTGATTCGAAATGAATGACGATTGTTAATGTTCTGGAGATGATAAATTGATTTATTTATAATTAACTTTCCATAGGGTAAGTAATCGCAAAAAATCGAAAATGAAAATTTTTATATATCTTCACGTTTCAGAGGTTTCTGAATATGTTGGCATACCTTGGAGAAAATTGATGTATGTTGTGTGTGTGCGTGCATGTGTGTGTGTTCGGATACAAATTTTCGTCGACGATTTCGGGAACACGGATGAAGCAATTTGAATAATTCAAAAACATTCTAGCCGTTCCGAAGATATGGGGCAAAAAGGGCTAAAAACGGTAACTCAGTTTTTAAGAGAACGGAGCGTCCGATTTGTATAGTTCAAAAAACATTTTACTTCTGTTTAACAAGATGAAGATTTGATCAAATTTTTCATGAAGATAGGACTAGAGCGTTTCGGAGATCTAGTAAAAAAAACTAAAAAAAATAACATTTGGCGGTCAACAATAATCATTAGACATTAGACATATGCATATCAATTATATCAGATATTTTAACAATAAGTATAAGTTTTGTTTACATTCCTATGGGTTCCGTACTATTGTTTTTTCGTTCCGTTAGACAGCGACGCGGCGCTTACGCGCTTCTATATTTCGTATCTATGCAGTTAAAGCAGTACGATTGCTTTGAAAAAAGTTCAGATCTTCCAAAATATATCAAAATGAAGATAACATTTTTTCCAAAAAAAATTTTTATAAAAAAAATTATTTAAAATTTTTTTAAAAAAATGTTTTTTTTTTCAAAAAAAAGTAATTTTTGTCCGATTTAAAATTTCTAAAAAATCTTATTTTTTGAAGTGAAATTTTTTCAAAAATGTTAATCGTTTTTAAAAAAATAATAATTTTTGGCACGGGAAGTTCCAGCAATTTGCCTTAAGGCACGATGCCTTAATTGCCTTAAGACAGAATTCCACTTACAGCTAGTCTTTTCTCAGTTTCGTGCGACGATCGGCTGAGCCGTTTCTTTATAAAAAGCAGAAGAGTGAAAGAAAATCGTCCACGTTTTAGCTCTCAATTCTGAATCGTTTTAAAAAAAACTGTTCAAAAGATATTGGTTGGGAATAATACTGATTAGTTTTAGGTAAAAATCTACCGAGTCGTTTTCTTGAAGTCAACTGTTGAAAAAAAATTTTGATTTTTATGAACGTTTTTTTTTTGCCATAGATGGTCTTATAAAACTTAAATATTACGGCCGTACAAAAAATAGTTTAATGTTAAAAATTCATCAAAGTTTGAGAAAATACTATAGTCAAAATTTGTGTCAAAAGTTGCTTTTGTGGTGTGATGAGTCAAACATTTCAATTCGTTTAAATTTAAAATAATAAACTACAATTTTATGGCATACAAGCACGTGTCGGTACAATATAATTAATATAATTACAGTTAATTTGAATGTGTTCGAGAAAATTCTATTTGAAATCGCTATATTTAGATTTAATTTAAAGTTAAATTTAAACTTTATTTTTGAAATAAACAGTTAAAAATTTTATCTAAATATCTAAATTTCATTTTCGATTGATTAAGTCAATACACATTTCAAGAGTTTACAAGTTCATGCAACTTGCCTTAAGGCTAAATGCCACTTTCAACTAGGTTATTAATGTTTTAATGAAAATAAACACAGTTTTCAGAATTAGTACACGACTATTTTTCTATGCATCTTCCTTTATTATTTAATGCTTAGACTGCCCCGTTTAGCGCTGTTTCACTTTACGCCCTACTCTGATAGAACGTAACCCCCGCGTTAAATAGGGTAATAATGTATATCAAGTATTTTAAATTATGTACACTCATATTATATCAATTTTAGAAAGTATCATCATAAACAAAATAAATAAATTGGCATTGTTTCATAATTTCACTAAACAGTTACATATTATATTAAAAAATCAAAATTGTGTAATAATGCAGATGTAATTTTATATAAAAGTGCAAACCCACGCGGTACCCTACTTCTATGATCTTTATTTGGGTAAAAGAAATCGCATACATTATAAATTATTTATTTATTTATTTATTTATTTAAATATATAGCCCACAGATTTCTCCAAGAGGACTCAAAAATACAATTATTTGACATAATGAATAACAATTAAAATATACACAAAAATTACAATATATAGTTAGTAACATAAAATGCTAAGATAAAATTTCATATAATGCAGAATGTAACAATAATATTTATAAACAGAAAATAATAAGATATTTGAAAGAAAATAAAAAGATTAACTTGTGCAGATGGAGATTATTTGATTAGGTGATGTGTTGTGAATGTCTATTTCATTATTAATTAAGTTAAAGTTAGAGGACATTAGTAAAATTGGCGAATTTAAGAGAGAATTAGATTTAGGGGTGGGATAATTATGCAATTATAATTTTTAAGATTTTTGTTCACGAAATGATTTAAACTTATATACATGTTTATATTTATGGTTAATTGAATTAGATTAAATCCGTGACAGTTTGTTTATTTATAAAATAAATCTGCATAGGCGGACATAAACTTTCTAATGATCTCATACGCTTCGAATTTTCATACGCTCATCAAAATAAGCTAATATTACTTATAAGCTAATTAACTTAAATTAAACCAATTAACAACACTAAATTAAATTATGCTCCATCCTCCAAAGAAATGGGTGTGAAATATCTTGTGGTACAATAAAACATATATCCCGATGGAAATCGATAAAACATATTTAAAATGACAAATGACACGACGATCTGCGAGTAAAAAATGAAATAATGTCGACTTACCGTTAATTAATTTGAATAACATCGTACAGACACAGATGTGTAACTTTCTTAATCACATTTCATGATAAAAATACACAAGACACGCACTTGGCAGATTTTAGTTTATATGGGTGATAGCTAAACAGCGACTAGGCGAACTTGACAGCTGCCGAAACGGAGAGGAGAACCGTCAGGTTGGCACCACTTATGGCCGAGACCAAGAAAACATTTTTCGAAATGATTAATTAAATTTATTCAATGAATAATTTGATTTATTCAACAATAAATATTACTTTGTGAGTAAGTTTAGTGTCATATCTACATATGGACATAAAGTACAGAATGACAAGAAATGCGTTTCAATAGTTCATATTCCACTAAGTGGAGAGCTAGTCGAAATTTCCGTACATGTATTAGAAAATAATATTTAATCATTATTTAATTTTTAGAAGTTTGTTTTCTTTAAGATATTCGGCTTTTTATTAATGTTTTGTTCTTTGTCATTTTAAGTTATTATGGATAACATAAAAACTAGTGGGGTGCATGGCATCGTGCTTTAAGGCAAATTTCTGGAACTTCCTGTACCGTAATAAAAATCTTGGTACGTAACCTAAAAAAACTTACACAAAATGTGTACAGATTATTAAAATCTCTATAAAATAACTGATAATTTGATTTGCATATGTCCAATAAACATTTTTGACCGCCAAATGACATATTTTTAACATATTTTTGAGAATTCATAACCGCTGGACCTGTTATATGTTTATTTATCTATGGGACCTGCCTTCATCTAGTTCAAAAATTTATTCATCCAGTCAATACAAGTAAAATGTTTTTCCATTTATTGATATCGGACGCTCTGTTCTCTTAAAAACTGAGTTACCGTTTTTGGCACTTTTTGTCTCGTATCTACGGAACGGCTAGGCCTGCCTTTGCAAAAAACTATTCAGCACGTCTTCTTATTAATACGAAACCAATTTGAATTATTCAAATCGGTAGATCGGTGTTCCCGAAATCGTTGACGAAAATTTGTATCGGAACACACACACATCAATTTTTTCTAAGGTATGCCAAATTGTTCAAAAACCTTTGAAACGTAAAGATATATAAAAAATTTTATTTTCGATTTTTTTGCCATTACTATAACTTACCCTACGGGCAGTTAAAAAGTATATGTATAAAGTTGTGCGTTGATTTTTGTTTCGTTACAGACTGGGTCTTTTTTCTGGGTAAGTCGAACTCAGTACCGCCTGAATAAAAATATAATACCAACTAAAATTTTTACCAACTTATACCAACACATACATCATTTTTTTCTAAGATATGCCAACAGTTGTAAATCTAGCTATAATTATAATAGTTTTGGCAAAGACACGCCAGCCTGTTTTTTCGCAATAAAATGAAATAAAACTAGTTGTGTTGGCATCGTGCCTTAGGGCAAATTGCTGGAACTTCCCGTACCGTAACGAAATGTTCGAGGAATATTAAATGTTTTCATATAGATTATTATAAATACTCTAACATTGCCTAATATTTATAAGCGTTATATAAACTGAAAAGCAAAGTTGAAATGATTTGTTTGAAGTATATTATTACAACTTTAGTCATAATTGAAATTAAAATCTCACTTATTTTTGATATACAAAAAAAAATTTTAAAAAAATTCAATTTTTTTTCCAAAAGCAATTATTTTGTTAAAACAAGCAGAAAGCTTTTTAAATCATTCAAGTCGAACGCTTAGTTCTCCCAAAAACTGCCATTTTTTTAACATTTTGCTCTGTATCTTTGAAATGGCTGGTCCTGCCTTTGCCAAAAACTAATCATGTCTTCTTCCAATCATTACAAATTGAATGTTTTTTAGATCATTAAAATCGGATACTGCGTACTCTCATAAACTTGATTTGCAATTTCTGCACTTTTTCCTTTGTATCTCCGTAACGGCTGGACCTGCTTTTGCCAAAAACTAATGAGTACATCTCCCTATCAATAGGAATCGAATGTTTTTTGAACTATTCATATTGGTTGATCCGTGTGCCTGAAAACGTGGACGAAAAATTATATCCATACATACATACATACACACATCCATTTTTTCTGAGATATGCCAAAATGTTGAGAAACCTTCAAAACGTGAAGAAATGTACAACATTCAATTTCGATTTTTGGACGATTACAATAACTTACCCGACGGAAAGTTAATAAAACTTAACTTGACCATAAAGTTTACAGTCTGAAGGAATATCTGAAATATAATAGTCGAAAAAAGTGTGGATTAATTATAAATATTTATTAAAGTTTGGAGAAATGATTGCGCCTTTAAAACATATACAGACACATGTTTTTTGCACTATAATTACCAGAATTACAGATATTATGATTTTATCTGAAAGATATTAATTGGAATCTGCATTTATTAATATTTAATAAAAACGAAAACTCTATTTCTAAATAAACAGTAAATTTTATATAAATAGATAAATCTTGATTAAGTCGATTATTTACACGTACACGAAATTCATGCAACTTGCCTTTAAAGCAAAATGACACCTACACCCATGCTTATTTATCTAGGCCTACACCTAGTCAAATACCTACCAAAAAAAATATTTTTTTTAAATTCTTACTAAAACATAATAAAATACAAAAATACATTTCCAGTATTTCAGAAGTGATCATCAGCGGTTTTTCTATTTCGCTTCATTATGATTCGTAGGTGTTGGTATCACTGTTTATTTGACATTTCTTTTTGTATCTATCTTCGCGTTGCGAAGCATTCACAAACAAACTTTAACCAATTCGTTCTCATAGCCAAAACTGAAGTGTATTTTTTATTTACAAAATTCTTTATAATGGGCGACCGATACAATATCCACAGTCAGCTGGAACATTTGCAGAGTAAATACATAGGAACAGGCCATGCAGACACTAGCAAATATGAATGGTTAACAAATCAACACAGAGACTCCTGCGCCAGTTATTTAGGACACCAAGACTTGCTTAATTATTTTGCTATTGCCGAAAATGAATCTAAGGCTAGAATAAAATTCAACTTGATGGAAAAGATGCTACAGCCTTGTGGACCTCCACCTGAAAAACCAGATGAATAAATATGAATTTGGTTCATGAATCTACTTTGTAAAACTATTTTATATCAAACAAATATATAGGTAATAAGGAAATATAAGTCTTTCATTCATTCAGTTGAAAACAAAACTTAGGAATTATATACAAAAATCATTATTTAGATAAATGCAGCATTTAACTCATTGGATTTGATTGGTAGATTGGTCTATTAACAAGATGCAGAGAACAAATTGAAAGTATAAAGAAAAATTTTCATAGTGTTTGCAAAATTTTTATGGTATTCTTTTACATGTGTAAAAGCAACACCTAGGTTTTTATGTACCATAATACGCATATGTGAATTCCAAGGATTTACATGTATCTATTGGTGGGTTGTCCAGAAAGTAATTTAGTTTTTTTATAGTCTTTTCTTAAAATAAACAAATACTTGATTAAATTATATATTTCCCATTTTGGTCAAACATCTTTTGTCATATTCCTGGTAGTAATACAATTCTGTGATTTAATCATTATTTGCATAAAACTGATCATGTTGCTTTTTACCTTATTATTTTAAGTGTAGATTTTGCAGAACAGGTAATAATAATTCAATGATGCCAATTCTGTAGAACATGGTGGTTGCAGCAGTGTGTCCGGGGTTCAAGTTGAAAAACCTTTTCGTAATTCATCAAACTTATGTGAGCTCACGCTTTATCTTGATGCAATACACATTGCCTGTTTATTACCTCTGGCCTCTTTTGTTGAAATACATTATTTAGTTTATACAGCGGATGACACTAGGCATCCGAATTAATTACTATGAAATCCGAAAAAAGCTGAAAAACAAACAATTTATTTAAAATCCCACCAAACATACAGCATCACCTTTTTCTGAATAGAATATCAGCTTTGAAACTGTTTTCATAAGTTTCTTCTATTATTCTTATTTCATAAGCAGTTGCCTATGATGTGTTATAAACAAACTATTTATTGTTCCTAGTGATAATTTGCTTCAAAATTTCATTTTTATGATGTTTTAAAAGCAAATTGCAGACGTCAATACTGGAAAACTTCTGCATTGTGCTTAGAGAAAAATTCCATATCTTTCAAGTTGTCATGAACTGATGAATTTAATAAATTTAAACTCAATATGATCTCATGTTTTTTGCTGGTCTGCATGAACTAATACCTTGCTCGGAACTTTATAATCTTCCTGAACATGGTATATCTTTGACATCAACATTTCTGGATCAAAATTTAACAAACTAGTTCTTACACTGTCAATTTCATTCTGACTTCAACATCATTTTTACCTTTTCTGTGGTAAAACAATAAAATATATCAAAAAATGCTGCTCAGTATTTCCATATTTAAAGCAACACCATCTAAAAACTACTGTAAATAATTGATTATAATCACACACAAATCTTAACATGTAAGCTTTCAAATCATGTAATAATTATAGGATTAAATCCTATAAAAACACAAATGAATTCTATGCTGTAAGAAAAATGGCATTACTTTCTGCACAGCCTCATAAATATAGTTATTCAGATATTATAACTCAATTATTATAAATTGAGATTAAATTTACAAGTATGTTATATTGCATTAAAAAACTAATATTAAGCTAAATTTTTGTGTGCAATCTTAATAAGGTTAATATGCTTCACTTTATTAGTGTTTTCTTCATATACAAAATGAAGTATTCTCTTTAAAAGATACTCAATGTATTCAACTATTGAGCAAACTAATAAATTCCATAGATAATTAATATGTAGTATTAAAATTTGATAAAGATTTTTTTTGACAAATACTCAATAAAATGCATCTGAGAAAACTTAGCTGCCCGAAAAGTAATAGTTTAATTTGTACTTTCAAAAATATATATTCGTAAAAAATATAAATTTAATATAAATTACAATTACTACTTCACTTCCAGTTTAGCTTTATCTTCTAATAATTTTGTCACTTCTTTAACTAAACTTTGCTGAACTATTGGCACTATCGTCTTGTTTACTTCAACCAGAGTATCTGTGGCTTTTCCTAATGTTTCAAATTCTAGACAACCGTTATGATACAATTCTGATACTTGCTGCATTGCTGGAAGCATAGCCAGAACTATTACACCGTGCTCTGTATTTTCTTCGGATTTTTCTTTTATTGTTGCACTGCATATATTTTCTTCCCAATCTGAAATATAGACACATATATTTGTAACTTTTGTAATAAGTAATAGTGTTTCAACATAAAATATATTTAAGGATATTGAATAAATATTTGATATACTTTTCAGCCTATTAGTGTGTAGTTTCACTGATTGTGATATATGCCATGAGTAGTAATTATATTGAAAAATTGGTCTTATTGTCAAAAAACTATCATTATTATCTGATAAATATTATTTAGAATAATAAACTGTCTACATGGTTTGTACAAAACATGCAGAGGTACAATTGCAATATTTTTTAATATTTTTAAAAAAAAATTATGAAATTTTTCAGTGATCTTCTCTGGTAAAACTTCTTTTTAAATGAGCTGTATTAATAATAATAATAATAAATAAGAGTTTAATTATTTCATTGCATTAACAAAAGAATTAGTACAATTTCTCAGAATTTCTCAAATCAAAGATTACAAACATTATATGGCAAAATATGAACATAATGAATTCAGTTGTGCAGAAAAAATAACTACATTAAACGTTATAAAATCTTCCAAAAAAAAGTCAACATTACTCTCTTTAAAATTGCACGAATGAATAATAATAATTTATTGTGAATTACATTTTACTATTAATAATATACAATTAAATATTTTAATAATATTTATTATTATTGTGTATGACTTGCATATGAGCGAATAAATAAATAATTTATTAAATACAAATTCAATTTAATTTAAGAACTTATTTTTATAAGACTATAAGCACAATATTTTCTCAATTATTAATATTATGCAATTTATTTATCAATGAAATGAATTATAAAATTAGAAACTTAGTTTGAAAATATAGCAATTATTACATAAAAACTTTTCAAGATTATCTTTTAGATAAAAAAAATATATGAATTGTATTAATTATTAAATACAAATTTTATTTAATTGAAGGTTCTATAATGTTGTATAGCATTTAACTTCATCATTTTCAAACAAATAGCTTAGAAAAATTTTGAAGCTATTTGGTAATTATAAGTATTGTACAACTTTGTACAAAAGATTTTTTAAGTTTACCTGTTGGATCAACAACTATTGTATTCCCAGATACCCCGACAGTTGCTGCAGTAACTAAATCATACATAGGAACACCTGCATCGGCTAAGGCCAAGCCCGCACAAGTTATTGCTGCTGAAAGACATGATCCTGCATTTTCTAATACTAATACGAAAACATCAACCTAGAAATAATAAATAAATTGTAGTTACAATAAAACAAGAAAAATATACATTTTGACAAATAATTGATTTTATTGAAATAATAAAGCATTTATGGCATGGGGTTATTTAATTTACTTTTCTCTCAAATTTAGATGATACACATAAACAAATATGCATAGTAATTTTGAAAAATGTAAGTCTTTAGAATAATTGTAGCAAATGGTCTACAAATTTTTTAGTTACAGATGTTGAGTCAGACTCAAAACAGATAATTAATAATAAGAATTTACCACCTTCTTAACATTGAATATAATACACAAAAAAAAAAAGTAGACTCACACTGAGATCAACAAATAGATGAAACAAACAGAGCTTTTATTTTGTTTAAAACATTCGATGTTTAAGGGGCACAACTAGTGTGAAATTTTCAAAAAATCGAATTTTCAATTTTTCCATATTTCGACAGGTTATACCTTTAAAAATAACATACCAAAATTTTAAATCGATATCTTAAATAGTTTTTGAGTCACAGCAATTTAAAGAGCATATATATAGTATATAGTATAACGATCATTTAATCTTTAAACGCGTTTTTCTTGAAACAGCATTTTCCGAATTTGCTGCAGCGATTACTCAAAAACAAATGATCCGATCACTATCAAATTTTTTTTACATGTTCCATATATAGTTCTCCATAAAATGAACTAACGATTTTTTGATCGGATCAAAAATTTTGGGAAAAATTCGACTTTTTTAAAAAAAACGCCGTCATTTTGTCAATTTTTGATTTTTTTTCTTTATCGTAATTCATTTTACAGACAATATTATCTAGTTTAACGAGATTTTTTTTTTTAATTTCATCCACGTAGAAGACCGGAATCACTGCAGCAGTGAAGGGCCTTTTTTTTGTCGCGCCGTTGGAGATCAACGATAACTTAAAAAATATTTAATTTTTTTCTTCAGAAATTTTACTATGTATTCTTAAAACATGTATAAATCTATCCCTAAAATTTTTAATTGATTGATGGAGTAGTTTTTTTAATATAAATTCCCAAAAATCACCTTTTTTTTAGGCGGTTACACTAGTTGTGCCCCTTAATCATTTCATATATTGTTCAATCACTTATTAGCTCTTACAAATATTTAAATCATACTCATTTTATATAAAATATTATTTTAATCTTGATATATTTAATAAAACACAAAATAAATAATAATTATTAACAAGTTAACTGTGATTAGCAAATACATTTGTCCCAAACAAAAGTATGAATCTTTGACCAGTGGCTATTATTTAAATTGCAACTTAAAAAAAATAAAGAAATAAATAAAATTCTCAAACTTCATGATATTTAGAATATTTTAAGGCAACGTCTGTATATAATAAATAGATAAGATTTACATTTTACCTCAAAAACAACATTACATTTTGATTCTGATACAAAACTGTACAAATATTTCTATGAGAGTAGTTAAATTAATTATAGGTTATATTATTATTATATAATTAACTATAGGTAATATCATTATTACCTGAAAATTGGGGAATTCATGCAAGCAAACTGCAGGCTGAAGAGCTCTGCAAAGAGCAGAAGATAACGCTTTCTCTTCTGCATCCGGCATAAGTTGTCTTCTTCGAATACAAGAGAATGATCCATATTTGAACTCACAATATAACTGCCCTCGTACACTATACAAAGAGGTAGAATTAGATCATTCTTATTAATTCATAATAATAAAATATTCCTGTTAATAAAATATTTTTTGAACAATTTTAATGCAATAGTTGAGAATTATTATAAATCAATATAACTTCACAACTATTGTAAAACTATTATTATGTATTATCAATATCTTTATATTTACCTAAATTCATTCTTTCGTGGTATTTCTCTTGGATCAAATACTGATGCTATAACTTTAGTATCGCCAACCTCGATATATCCTGAACCTTTAGCTTTATTCACTATTCCAGCTCTAAGGTCTGTAATAATTCAAATATAATTTATAATCATATTAAATATACAAGTTATGCAAAGTATATGTATTTTATGTACATAGAGCTGCTAAAAATTAACACTCAAAGTATTAACATACACATAACATATTCAATGTAATTTGTGTGAGAAGATAAATATATATTAGGTCATAAGAAATTCTAATTTAGTATGTGATTATGGCAATATTTAAAAATGGAATTGTATAAGAATCGGTGGATATAAATATAAATACTTAAAAACAATTATTAAGACATAAATACACTACATTATTACACCATGTAAATCCATGCTATCAGTAATTAGAACATTTAAGACTATATATTTTGTTAACACATTTAAACTGCATATTTATGTACACAGTTGTTTAAGTGTAGGAACTGAATGAATTGCGTTTTGGAAATAGTTTTTAAAAATGTATAGGCTTGCAAAAAATATGGCTTTGAATATTAATAAAAATAACACACTTCATTCAGTCTTAATAATGTTTGAAAACTGATCAAAAAGTATTATGTAGTCATTATATGGTGAACTGCTACCATCCCGTTTATTTCTGGCTTCACATCACATCTGGATCAATCGTCCTTGTAAAAATCTTGTTTTATACTGATTTTTTAAAATCCATGTTGTATTTGAGGTTGTTAATGTGTTAAAACTCGATTGTGTTAAATGCAAAATATAATAAGTTTTACTAAGTAATGTTTTATTGTACACATTTTTTTATAGCTTGTATATTTTACTGTAAAACTTTTAAATTTTTAGGCTAAATAGGTAACACTACCGTTAATTTTGATTTAATTCAAATACTGCCAATCACAGAAAAATCAATATTTTTAAAATAGCCTATTTATTTCTCTAGCTTTTTAACTTTTTTCATTCGATTTTTAGAATATACAACAAACGTTATTTTCAAGATCCAATTTTACAACAGCTACAATGCATTCTATGTGGCTTTTGTGCCTTCATTTTTGAATAAATTTATATTTTGTTACTTAATAAGCTAAATAACTTCCTCTGACATTATAATTTTATTGCCTTTCCTTCTACTAAAGAAAATTTACCAAAAAACATGATTTTTAGGCAGTTATAATGATGTTGGCCCTTAAGCCTCCATTGGACGGTCTAATACGTACAGGTTTGTGCATCAAGCATTCTGAGTGCATGTACAAATATGTCTATTTTGCTATATTATAAAAATAATATTGATCATACATATTTTGTTTTATTATCTTCCCGAAGAAGAAGTTTATGTTTTCATCAAAAAATCCGATTGGCTAATTTTATGTTTTCTCGACGTTTCAAGCCATTCTGAATCGAATGAGATCAAATTTGGAAAAAGTATGTATGTGTGTGTGTGTATGTGAACAGATTTTTTGCCGTAAATCGGCGTTTTCTCAAAAACGGCTGGGCCGATTTCAAAAATTTAAAAGCCGTTCGAAAGATATTGATTGGGAATCGTGCTGATTAGTTTCTGGTAAAGATCGGCCGGGCCGTTTTCTTGTAATAAAGTGTTGAAAAAATATTTTTCGACGATTTTTATTATTATTTTCTTGACGATAGATATCATAGTCTTCTAGACCATACTAAAATATTACGGCCCTACGACAACTCGTTTAGCTTTAAAAATTCGTCAAAGTTTGCAAAAATTGGTATCGTTTTTTTGGCATTTGTCAAAATTAGACCTTTGATCGACGTTTTCTCAAAAACGCCTGAACCGATTTCAGAAATTTAAAAGCCATTTGATGTATCTCGATTAGGACTATAGTTTGTCAGTTTTGTGCGACAATCTGCCAAGCCGTTTCCTTGTCATTTGGGAAAAAGTGATAAACTTTTCGTCCACATTTAAGCTCATCCTACCAAACCGATTTTAAAAAATCAAAAACTGTTCGAAAGATATTAGTTGGGAATGATACTGATTAGTTTTAGGTGAAAATCTACCAAGCCGTTTTCTTGTAACTAACTGTTAAAAAAAAATTTAGGCCGATTTTTATGGAACTTTTTTTGGCGATATATATCATGGTCTTATAGAACTGAACTGAATTATTACGGCCTTACGACAAGTAGTTTAATTTAAAAAATTCATCGAGTTTGAGAAAATGAGTAGTTTTTTTGAGGTTTGTTAAAAATAAAATTAGATGATTTAGTTGGTATAACGATAGTGTACTTGGTCTTGAACATAGTAAACTATTAAAGTCCTACGGAAACTGGTTCTATTATAATTATTAATTAATTAAAATTATTGATTTTTGAAAATTTGCTTTTAGAAAATACTCCGAGTTAACATATTCGTTCGTTCGTTTGCAATGATGTGTAATAAATCCACTCGATATACTTATAATCACTCATAAATTAATTTATTTTTTATTGATTAAGTCGATTATTTGCACATATCGGGAAGTTCATGTAACTTGCCTCAAGGCTAAATACCAAACCAACTAGTTTGTTCTTGTTTTAATACAAACAAATAATTTGCCAAAACCTATTCGATTTCGTTGAATTTGTTCTCAAACATTTTTTGATCAGCCTATACTGGCATTTCACAATTGTTATTTACAGAGTGCCCTACACACAGTTTTCTTTTAGATAATATAAATTTAATCAAGACATTGTCTAACTATTAAAAAATTCAGGTTATCTAGAGTTATAATAAGTTAACTAGTAAAATTAAGCAAAAGCTTTATGTCAAATTTTATTGCAATATTCAAAATAGTAATTAGCTATAGGTTTAATGAACTAATACATGTTATAATAATATACTCACAAACTTTCCTGTGTTTATCAGGCGTTCTTCCGTCTTTCCTCAATTTTTGTAGGTTAAGTATATCATAAAGGTTTTCATGATTTGATTTAATATTGGACTTTGAATATATTATATAAGGTGTAGAAACTTCGGGGCCATTAATTCTTTTGTGATCAACAGGCATCGCTAATAACTATATTAATTAATATTTATAAAATAATTATTTTAATTTATTTTTGAACAACTCAAACAACTTTATTTTGACATGCTTCTTTTTGACAACATGCGAGAGCCATCTAGTATTGATAACCTAGACTACAAGAAATTGCCGCCAGATTTAAAAATGTAATTATTAAACAAATACTGAAATTTCTTACAGGAAAACCTTTACATTGCTTGCCTGGGATTTTGATGAAATTTGGCATAATGATAGATTGGGTGTCCAAAGTGACCCCCGTGATTTATTACATACATATACTCTTCTTTTACCTATCATTAGACAATTATGAAAATAGTGCTTTATACTTAGAAGTAGAGCTAGTTAGATTGATGAGTACAGAGCACTATTTTAAGAGGCTTTTCATAGGCCTTCATATTTTACAAAGGTCAGTTATTAGTACTTTATAAAATACTAACCTTTTTCATCTCTTTATTTGAGCATATATAGATCTTAGACTAAAAAACATAGTATTTTTTAGTACTTGTGATCTATAGAAATATTAGTACAGCACAAGGTACCATTTTCATACACTTTTCATTTAATATTTTATGGAGGTCAGTTATCATATTAAGTACTTTATGTTCTAGCCTTTTTGTCTCATTTTAATATGGAACGAATACTTTTAACTAATGTAAGTACTTACTTATTACAAACGCACCCTTAGGTGTATATCCTGTATGTAAAAAGGTTAAAAAAAAATTCCAAGATTATCAATTATTCAATAAATTACAAAGAATTACAAAGAAACGGATCGCCCAATCTTTACCAAAAACTAATTTAACGCAAATCCAGACTGATATCTTGTAAATGGTTCTTAAAATTTGAAAATCGGTTCAATATTTTTGTCGAAAACGTGGACAACAAATTTTGTACTTTCGGACTAATTCTAAAGAAAACTAATCAACGCAAGTCTTTATCGAGTTTTATCCAATGGCTTTTGAATGCTTGAAATCGATTTAGCCTTTTTTCAGGAAACGTCGACGAAATGTCCACTTTTGACACCCATACTTTTTACAAATTTGGTGGCAAACAATTCATAATGACTCAAAAGGCCAAAATAACATAAAAATAGTATATCGAATTTAGCAGCGAGAATAAATTTGTGTAATTGTGTAGTAGAATTTGATTTTATTTGATAGAGTGATCAATTTATTTGAAATAACTTTTTTTTGGACATGCTTAAAAAAAACTACTGAATATTTTCTCAAATTTCTTTGAAAGTACAATTCTTCCAGTTAATAATAGAAATTCATTTCCGTTATCGAAGACAAGTGGTTCAATATAGAATATCTGAAATCTTCAAGAAAGTAAAAACACCATATTTTAACACAATATTAAGATATCTATTCAACAATATAGCTTATTTATAAGGTTTTTAGATTATAATTTTCTTTTATAATAACCTTTCCACAAACAAATCTACAAATATTAATATTACAAATTACATTATATATATATAACTCTTAATAAGCAATCGCATCGACTGCTATTAATTTTTTTCATCTTTTACTAAAAATACATGTGTTTATGTGTTTATATAAGTGTGTACTTTGTCTCTGATATACATTTCAGCTTTTCAACACAAACGATATATATCAACACCTTAAAACGAAATATTAATATTCAATTAAAACACAAATCAAACATTTGTGACTGACGATTATATTTCGCTTATTCACTTTGAAAAGTTATGCAAACTAGCAACCACTAAAAATCTGTGTTTATGGTAGAGCATTTCACTAAATAAATAATATTTCTTATAAATATATTATTTACAATAGTAGATATATCTCGAGATATACAAAATTTACAAATTGAACAAATATACATAACAGATTAAAATGCATATAAATTAAATAGTTATTCGATCACTTAAATGTCGTTTATCATAAAAGCAAATAGTACACAACGCGAATGTCGTTAAAATTATTGCCAATATAAAATTAAATCGAAATATTTACATAAAAAAGATAAGCAATAGATAAATTAAAATTTCATTGAAAAGAATTAAGCATAAGTACAGTATTTTTCGAAATATTATTTTTTTGATCTAAGACAGAAATTTTGATAGTCACTGTAGCTAAAATTACAAAATAATTGTCACACTGGGGTCGTAATTAATCAGATGTTAAAAAAAAGAATTAACAAAAATAATCAAGCTTAACGTCCAACCCAAACCTATTAATTATATGTACAATATAATATAAATCTAATATTGTCTAAAAACAAATTTATATCAAAATATTAACAGATTTTGATCGCATATGCATCACCATAAACACAATGAGCAATCATAGAAGTACATAGGAATGTGTACAAATTTTATTCTTCATCACAAAAACGTTTCTGAGTTGCTATGAATAAGAATGAATAATTAAAGGACGGATTATTCATCTTCATTCATCGCAAAATGAATTATTGAATGCATATCTTTGCAAAATACATAAAACTTGTACACCTCCTTTGAAATTAAATCATTGGTTCTTTTTATATTACAAAAACTAAATCCGTGTGAGCGGATTCGATAAAAATAATGTTCTATATATTTATATATAGATATAATAACATATTACGCAATCTATAATAATATTAAAGCCCGACTTAAAGAAAATTTCAGTTTCAAAACAATTATTAATTTTACAAATTGCATATTTACAAATGAAACTTATACAAATTACAAGTGTACACGACGAATTCAAATTCACCTAAATAAAATATCTCTTATTAATAATAAAAATAAAAAACAATTACCAATTTGTTCAAAACAAATTCTTTATGATTTGTATTTTATCCCTTGGAGTTCATCATATACTTTTAACTGTTCATACGATTTTAGTACACAATGTTTTTATACAAAACAATAATTTAAGGCAAAGCTTTATTTGTTTTCTTCAGAATAAATTAATGTTTACGCAATCAAAATTATTATTTCATGATCTGAAAAATATATGTGCATCTAGGATCATCTATAATGTATTAAAAGTACAACCATGAACATGTCAAAATAAAAATAAAGCAAATTATCAACATACATTGTACATTGATGTATAAAATTAAAACCGAATATTATGTAAAATAAAATCATATATTTCGACACATTCATATGTTGTTCAAATGCAAAAACTTACACAACAAATATCGCATACACTGGAAGCCAAATTCATGAAATAGAAATAATAATTCTTTGCATTAGAATTTCTTGTTTAATTTTTAAACAAACAAAAACACCAGCAATAAATCACTATATCAATTTGATGAACATGTCTGAATTGTATTAATCAAATTCTCTAAATTATTTTTTAGTTTTTATATACAAAACTTAATCACGTGTTTTTGTTATAATAATTTCTTTCTGCTAGGGACCATTAAATTTGAAAGCTCAGTCTTAAGTCCCACAAATTCTATGATACAAAAACAAAAAATAATTTATGAAATTTGATTCAAAATATAAAGCTCACAATACAAGCGATGTGTAATCAAAATTCTTTCAAAAATACTCATTTCACTATGTACAGTTGTTATTTTTGCTTTAAGTGTGTAATGTATTTTTTTTTTTAATTTGTTTTTATATTTTTATCTATATATACAAAAGGTGTGTTTTAGTGTTTGTGTGGCTTAAAACTTAACGTTGTTTATATGAAGCTTCGAAGATTTAAAATGATGAGATGGGAATGGGTTAAAAATAAACCCCTTATATATTTTTGCATTATTTCAACTTTTTAGAAAAGTACATCAAAATATATAGCACTTTTTAACTATTTATCTAACACTACGACTGTATAGTTAGCTATGACAAATCTGCACATTTTGATTGGTTACCATACAAATTGTATCACAAAGCAAATTATAATAAAATTATTCGAAAGTCGACTTAGAAAAATTAAAACAATCGTAATTACAAATCTATATTTTCATATTAAGTCAAAAGTATTTATTAATTATCTCGTACGGTGAGTCTGCACTTCATATAATCAACTTTGTTCATAAACTTTTTTCATTTTTTTGTGTTCTGGAGATATCACATCTTGCTGTATATCATACAATTTATTTATATATATTTATATTTATATATAGTATCTTTTCTATTAAATAAAATTAAAGAAATTAAAAATGTCTATGATATACATATATTCATTACTACGAATTAATTAAAAATCTACTTGGACTTAACAACAAACTTATTTAAAAAATATACAAAAAAAATAATTAATTTGAAAAAGCTATATTTTTTTGCTTTTTTATATGCGCTTGTATATATATAAACAACAAAATTGAAAACTCGTTCAATATTATCTGTACAATCGTCACAATTTGCTATCATTACTTATCAAAACCTGAGTTATTTTTTGTTGTGTTACAATATTTGTCTCGCCCCCATTTAAAGTGTCCCCACGTAGAAAAAAGATTGCAGAAACAAGTTGTGAACGTTTAAGAGAACGCTGGTTTTACATTTTGCTTTAGAAAGTTACACTATTGATTCAGGCAGATCATCTTGTACTAATAATAAGATTTTAAGCATTATTAATGAATGGTTGTCAACTGATTTTCTTTGTCTTAGACAAACCTATTTGTTGTTACTTTCTAGATACAAATAAAATGATTCAACTATATGATTTGCTTCCTAATATGTGATATCTGGATAAAAAAACTCAATTATAAAATACTATTTTAACTGCACTTTAAAACAAAAAGTACTATCCTTCATTAAAAAAAGATTATTTATCAATGCATAATTTTATAAGATAGAACTTATATTAAAAGTTTCTAATTATTTTAATTAATGTTAAAATTAATAGAAGTTTTGAATTAATCCATAGTAAACTTAAGAATCTAATTTATTAAAAATAAATATCACACATTATGCAGCGCATCAATTCAATCCAATATTAACCGCAGAATACATCAGTTCCTCACCATTACCTGCTGCCTTTTGTGAATCATCTTGCCTTACAACTTGTTTGGGTATCATTTCTTCAATCTCTCGATCTGACATCTCGTCCACTTCCG